GCGGTGATTCTGTTTCCCTAATTGGTTTTTGCTATTGTATTAATGCGATTGATGCTATTGAAAAGGGCGACTTTGGCACGTGATTCTTGTGATTTTATCCTGGAATGTTAGGTTTGTGTTTTTGTTTTCATTTTTATTTTTTTGCTGGTGAGATATTTCTATACGGTTCCCTTTTTTCAAAATTTTCCATTCGCGATATTCATGTGATCATTTCATTTTTCTTTTCCTGTGTTTTTTTTTTTTTGGGTGTTTTGTTTTGCTGGCTGTATGCGTGTATCAGGTCTAGTCGGTGTGTGTCCAAGTATGACACTGATAATCAAGCTTTATATATCTATTATTTTATGAACCCCCTTTTCATGCTTTTTCCTTTTGGGCTGGACTTCTTATTCTTCTGCCATTGCAAATCTGTAAATCTGGGTAAAATTTAGGTGATCACTTATTTATTGCAATTACATTCATAGAAAATCGCATAGATAAAAAGTTTTTAAAAAAGGAAAATACACTCAATTTAAGGATTAGGATTACAAACATTAAAGCCTGTAGCAATAAAAGGAATAGAACGAACCCAAGATTTTTTAGCATTAACTTATTCTGAAATCAAATGCTATGGACTTGATAATTCAATTAGTCATCATTCATCATCACTATTATTACTGATTAATTAAATAATTTGTACTATATTTTTCATACTTTTGTACTGTGACCCTATGAATACACATTTATGTGGTGTGGTGATATCGTTTGGGGTATAAGCGTTTTTTTTTGTTCTTTTGTGTGGGTGCACAAATGTGTGGATGTGTAGTGGCACATGTGTATTTCAGGTTTATTTTGCATTTTATTGTTATATATTTTACTTTCAATGCTTACATCATACTTTTTTTTTTTTTATGTTAATCTGTTATGTGAATCTGTAGATTTTGAAGGATTTCCTACTTTGGATAGAGCTGAATCTTGGAGCTTGGGGTCCTCTTGTTTTGTAAGTATCAACTGTCTAAATGTTTTTTTGTTTAAATATGTTTGAGGTTTTAGGATTCAATTTAGATTGTAAATTATGCAAATCTTTTATTTCTACCAGAGCCATCTGTTTCCTTTCTCATTTTAGCTTTTGAAGCTAATAATATAGTGGTTTCCTAATGCATTACATTTGACGATGGATATAAGATTGTATACATCTTTGGGATGTATATTAGGCTTCGCTGCATATACTTGTTCATTATAACCTCTCAAATAATAAGTTAACAGCTATGCATTTTGCAATTATTGCAATTCAAATCTTTTCATCATGGAGGATGCTATGGTAATGATCCTCTGGTGTTGTTAGACATAATTTTTCTTCGATGCAAGCCAACAAAGGCGAGTGATACTGCATGATTAGAGAGGTTGGTCCTCATGACACAATCTAGCCACTCAATGGTCTCTAGCATTCGACTTTCTAGTTGGTAGATACTATGTAGAGTATCTAGTTCACTAGTTGGAAGTAGACAAGCGCCATGTTTAGGCACTACAACTGTGTTAAGAAGATCTAATCCATGGGCATATTAGGAATATGAAAAAATTATTCTGATAATGTACGATATGGCCAGTGGGATGCAGACACAGTTATATTCACAAGTTTAGGTTCCCTTCTGATGTGAACATGCTTTAAAAATAGGATCTGCTGTTTGATTTGAGGCACTCGATTAATACGGGAACAAGATTTTATTGGGATGGTTATCTTTTAATATAGCTGGAACCTTTTAAATTTGTTGAACTAACTTTTTTCTTCTCTATAATTCCCTGAATTACCCTTTGGTAACATTGGTTTCCACTGTGAAGTCATATGGCTCATTTGATATCTTATGTTAGTTTCACATTCTTGCTTGGAACTTGCAGATGGGTTTATTATATATTCATGTGTTGCACTGGCCAAAAATCCATAATACCAAAATACCTTTACGATCACAATGATCGCTCTGGCCTTTTTCAAAGAGAAGGAATACCTGAAAGCACAATATACTCAGGACCTGAGCCGGGGATTGAAATTTCCGAAGGGGTTCACTTAAGGCGCATCACCCAAATCAGGGAATCAAATGTCAATAACATTGCCAAGAAACTCTTGGTTATAACTTACAAAGCATGCCCCTGAATCCTGATGGTGTATTAAATGTTAAGGCATCTTGTTTTATGAACATATCTTGAAGTTGGCAGCAGTATATTATCTTTATGTATTTGAATTTTTTCTGGTAGAAGTCTTGTTAAGACCTAGCATGAGAGTAGCAAATTTTAAGAAATGATCATGCACGCGATTGAGTACCAAATCAAATGGTCAACCTGTTTCATTTTGCACTCCATTCGCAAGTGATATTTTATGGTTAAATTCCTTTTATTTTATTATTTCTCTTTCCACAAAAGGATGCTGAGATGTATCTCCGATTTGCACAAAATTGTTAACCTTTTGCTCTCTTCGTGTTCTTTGACTAATTTGGAAAGCATACAGGGCTGTAGCATACATTCCTTTGACAGTACTTGCAGTTCCCGCATCAGTACTCACTGTACGTGTCGAATTTTATCATCTTTTTGCCATCAGTATTATACCCTTTTTATTCTTATCTATTAGACATGATCTTTTACGAATGTGTAAATATTTTATTGGTTCATAGCCCTCAACATCTATCTTTCCCTACATGGTATGATTTTCTAATCCAAAACTTTCCTAGAATGTCATAGTTAACGATTATTTGAAGAACTATTAGTTACTTGCGATATAAATTTTTCCTCGGGTCTTTTTTTATGCATTACCTGCTCATGCCACGGCTCTTTGGTATTGCCCTCTTATATTGCTGCTTATGATTTTGTAGCTTGGAGGTGGATACCTATTTGGGCTGCCTATAGGTTTTATTGCGGATTCTATTGGAGCTACAATTGGTGCAACAGCAGCATTTCTTGTTGGCAAAACGGTCTGTATTGAAACCTTAGTGTTGTTTGACTTTTATATGTGGACTTTTAAATGACATGGCAGTTTTATAGATAGCTGGCCGGTCTCTTATGAAAGGCTCCTTTTCTCTCTTGATAGGGTCGATTCCTTTTTTGTTGGGTGTTTTTTAATATGATATTTTTATTTGGACATGATCCATATCGACATTATCAAGAAATAGGACGTTTCGTGAGGTCCTTGAACTTTGAGCTTGAGACCTGTTTATGGTATTGTTTGAGCACTCTAATTTGAATAAAATTCCCTTCCTTTTCTTATTAGAATAAGGAAACTTCTCCATGTGAAGTATAGTTGTGCCGAACTCTATACTCTTCGGTGCTTATTACCGTGCTATGTGTGCTATACCTGGTTTATTTATTTATTTATTTTATTTTTGAGAAGGTGATGAATATATATTGCTTACAAAAATCCGCAAGGCATGGGTCTATTTGGGCATCCCACAGGGTGGTACTGTTACCATTAAACACAGCTCATTAATGCCTTTAGCATATACAAACATGAGAGGCTACTGTAAAAAAAAAGAGAGGGTAGTTTGGGGGGAGCTAGAGCGAGAGAGAAGGGAAGGTGAGAAGAGGGGAAGGAGAAGAGAGTGAAAAGAAGGTTGTGGGAGGAGAGAAAGTAGA